GTCAATTAACCTTCAAATCCTGCATTTCTTAGGCAGTCAGGTTCTAGTACATATTGGCTCTTACACACCACACTAGTAACAAAGGTATATACTTGTTATCTGATATTGTGTGTGTGTCTGTTGTGCCTCAAAAACAAGGAATTATTTAAAACCAAGAAATGACAGAAATGTAACTATACCCTGGGGTATATATTTAAAATAAATAAAACACAAAATAAGCAATTATTGTAAGGCAAATCAAGATTCTAAGGCAAGCCAGAATTGTTCACATAGCTCTCTAAAGAGGAACCTCAATGTTCCTAATGTACTAGATATGATTTCTGAACTGAAAAGAATTTCCTAAGTGTCATTACTGTTTCTGCCTTCTCAGCAATCATAGAGGCTCACATCTATCATTTTCTTTGTTCTGTGAGAGACAGACTTCTGGCAAAAAAAAAAAAAAAAGAAAAAAAAAAGGAAAAGGAAAAGGACTGGAAATATTTACTGAGATGCAGTGAAAAAAATAAAGATGCAGTTTAAATAGTCCCTACATTTCTCATGTAAACATCTTATAATATATAATATATACTACATACCATATAATTGTGTGTAAAATAGTCATATGCTACAGATTTTTATGCTTTGACTCAATCTCTTTGTATATTTTGAAATTTTAAGCTTAATGTGAATCATATAAAATGGAAATCTTTAATTATTTTATGTACTGTAATCTGCTTTTAAATGAATGAATATTTCTAAATGGAATGTATATGTTGGTTATTGGTCTTTAATATTCTGTGTTTTAATACACCAGACCATCCCACTGAAGCACCTGATATACCTTATTACATTAATTTTCTATCAGATTTTCCTTGGGATTAACCAAATCACTTTAAAGTTGCATGTGACTACACATGCGCAAGAGAGTTCTTTCTTCTTTCAGACACATTGTTTATTTGTGATCTTACCTGACAATTATGTATTCATTCCTATTTTTGTAAACAACAAGATATTAATATGAAAATCTTTTCTGTTTGTTTATTTTGTGAATTTGACAGCATGTTGTGAAATGGTAGGATCACTTCTGTTGTCAATGGCTAATTGCTTGGCTCACAATATAATATCAGTCATATACTACTCTGGAGGGGACAGAAGAATTCATGCGCACCCAGTCTTCACTCAGATCACTTGAGATAACAGATAAGGTACAACGGCTTATGAAAGTGGAGCAGGAAAGGTGTTTTAATTTTGGAGACATTTGCACCTGGAGTCAGAAACAGTTGAGGAACCTCCATCCATTTATTTGCTTTCTAGAAGCCACATCTTTAAAGGACCTCACATCTTACTCCTCACACATGCAGCTCAGCTGGCCAGGGCATGGTGATAGAGCACTAGCTATGCCTATTGTCCACCTCTCATTGGCTCATTTAGGGGACCAGGCACTTTAGGGTATGAAGTAGTCCCTGTACTTCCTTGAACACTTAAGTTCTTGCTATACTTAAATTGGGTGGAATGACGAGGAGTGGATGCTCTTTATTTTCTTCCCATGCCCTCACATGATTCTAGAACTGAGCCCTATGTAAACTGTAACCCTAGGGAGATGCCATACCTGTTCCTTCTAAATCTTATTAAAATAATTCAGTAATACTCCAAGGAAGGCAAAAGCTAGCTTTATATTACAACATATTTAACCACTACTAAAAAGATGATAGAAGAATTATGAAATTATTTCTGCCAGAGTGCCCCCAATAATAAAAGAACGTTGTGATACTATATTATTAATGAGACTCCTCCATCTAAGCTTAAACATACATTAACCAGGATACTTGTATAGTATAGAAACAGATCTATGTTGGCTGGCTTTCTAAATCAATCTTTCTATATTAGGAACCAACACATCACTGCTCCTTCACTATCCCATGTGCTAGGAATGATGAGAGAATCCTTTTCCCACTTTAACATTAAACTTTTCCAGGTAATTGTTAAAATATATATTTCTCTATATCCAATAAATTCATTCTTTCTGGACAGTACAACCATGGGATTCCTACTCAAAGTTAACTACAGAACATTCATGGAACCCATACAATTATACATTTCTCTGACATTTTCTCCAGTATGGCACTTTTTGGTGGAAGTAGGTATGGGCCTGCTTCACTGAGAAAAATGTTGAAGGAAACAGTGTTTCTATCAAAAACAAATGACTTACGATATATCAAATACAATTTTTTTTCTCCAGTTAAAATGATAATTTCTGTAAAGGCTGTCACTGCTGAATTAGGGCCATCATATTTCACTGGTCTTAAAATGGAAACTCCTACTTCTCCACTCACCTTGCTTTCAGTACACACAACAGTTTCTGAGCTCCAGTCTTCGCCAAGCATGCCTATGTGTATGTTGGGGGGACAGAGTGCTAGACAGCAGAAGCTGGGGGACAGACATACAGATTTATCGCAGGCCTAACTGGCTCTTCCAGCTCAACACTGATATCAACTCTCCTTCATACATACCAGAGTATGGGGGGGATGGACCCCATTCAGCTCACTCCACTCACCCCATGCGTTCCCCAGATATACTGATTTGTGCAGCACTACTTTGCCCAGCTCCTATGGCCAGACAGGGGAATCCTGGCACACCCTCATAGTCAGCGCCTGGGGCAGGTGACGCTCTTGCTCTGCCCTAGTTATGCTACTGGTCCTTGTTGTCCCTCTGAAAACCAGACAAAATCATTCATTTGGCAAACACTCAAAAGGATTGTTTAAAACATGCCTGTTCCAGTGAACATGGGACTTATGGGGCACATTTCCACATGCAGGGGCACGTGCTTGCAGCATAAAAAATGCTAGTGACACAAGTTTGTGCCACTACTTTTTTGCCACACTGCACGCCTCTGCATGTGTGCATTGTGGTGTGGGGCAAATTACCCTGATTTGGGGAAACTGCCCTTTCCCTGCTACTCCTGGTTCCCAGCGTGCTGGAGGAGCCAAGGGACCATTAAAGAAGTGGAGATGTTCTGACCCACAGCCAGAGTGTCTCCTGGAAGGACCAGGCCTCCATGTCTGCCGGCACATGCTCCTCTCATGTTTATTGTGCTGCCTTTTTCGCACTATTTTTTTTTTGCTACCAGGATTTCCTGGTAACAAAATGTGCCCCTGCACTGCAAAATTGCAGTGCAGGGGCACATTTTAATGTTCCAGGTGTGCAGTCTGTGGCACTGTAAAGAGGTTTTGTGGCACCACAAGCCACACATGCCTGCATGCTGAATACCTTCCTTTAGTATGTCAGTGTTCCCCCACCACACTCTGTTACACACAAAGGAAAGCTGGTATCAGTGTTGGATGGGTATGCCAGGGAGCAGCAACCTATGAAGACTGGGAGCTTTGGCAAGGATCTTTGGAGTTTTGGTGGTGGGGAGCTTTGCCTGCACAGCAGCCTGGCAGCGGAAAGCAGCAGCAACAGCCAGGTCCTAGTGCTGGCCCAGCTTGCACCCACACTGGGTCATTCCAGCCCACCTCCAGAAAACATTGCTGACTCCTGGGCTATGATAAGTCTGTCTCTCCAAGTTTGAATGGTTGCAAACTTACTCAAATGAACAATTAGGGATATTTATCATGAGGAAGCCCTACACAGCACTAACAGAGCTCACGAAGCAGAATGTCATTGGTTATCTCAGAATCTCTGCAAAGACACTGGAACCCCTCACTGAAGTAGATGAGGAATCATTAGTACACCCCCTGCCACTCCATGTTCAGTCAAGGGGGAATAAGATGCAAGCATCTGAACCCATCTACAAACTGTGAAAGAAGGCGAGGGGAGTGATAGAAGCTCTTTACTGAGTTTCAGCTGGAGATGAGGAAGGAGGACCTTGGAGCCAGAGTCTGCAAAAAGGACATAAAAGACTGCATGAATACTTGCTCCACAAAAGAAATGAATTAGAGCAGGACTAAAAGAACAAGCTACGACATTTCAGTATAATCCACAGATCCACTGCAACCCAGAGAAATCACCAAGAGTAACAGAAAACACCCAGGCAGCCACAAGCAGCTGGCATGCAGTGATTGAGTTTTCTGGCAACCTGGCCCCTGTCTTCTCCACTTTTATTAATCCTCCCTCCAACTGTGCCTTCTTCATTCCTGCCCTCAGGGCATAGCATGGTCTGTCCTCTGCTCTGCTGGTTTATCATTTGCACAGAATTGTGATGGGCTGCATAGCCCAGAAGCCAGCTAAATACTGACACTGCCTTTTACATATTTAATTGTGACCACCTCTTTTCATTTGCTTGTATTACATATTTAATACAATTAAATGTGGTTATAGTAAAAACGTAAAATGTGTCTGTGTTTCTGAACATGGAAACTATAATCATCAATTATTACTTGAACTCTGTTCCTGATTTCCATATTGCTGTCAGACTGAAAGCAGGCTCCTCTACACAGGGGTAACATCACAGATTGCATTGTTTAAAGCCCTATTTTCAATTCAGTGTAAAATGTCAGTTCTATATTGCTTTTTTATCCTATCCACAGCCAGATGTTTCTCTTAGCTTCTCATGCTAAAATAACGCTGAGAAGGAAGAGAAATAGATTAATTCTATTGCCTGTAGAGTGCATGAGCTCAGATCAGAGCGTTTCCTTCTGGCCTAAAAATCTCTCTGACTTTATGAGAGAGCATTTTTGCTAAAGGTATCTTCACCATTGCCAAGTATTATTATTTTATTATTTTATCTTTATATTACAGAACCCTTGCTTGGAATCAGGACCCCATTGTGCAAGGCACTGTATAAAACACATTAAAACCTCATTTATTTTCCCTACTAGGAAATGGGACTATTTCAACAGGAGATTTTAAATGTGTTTGCTGCTAGGATATGGATGATTGTAAAAGGCAGTGTGGAAGAAGGTGCAGGTGTGATAAATGGAGAGAAAGAGAGAGAGGGAAGAATTATTGGCAGAACAAAGGAGGTGTGAAGGGAGATGACATGATTAGACATTCAACATTCATATGTGGTTTTTTTCCGTAAGGTGAACTGTCTGTGTGTGCTGCCCACCACCTTTTTAACCACTAGGACCACAGAGCCTAATGACGACAACTAGTAAGTCAACCCAAATAAAAGGCACTGGGAGGTCATGAGGTATCAGCATGTAGGGGCCTTGCTCTTATTTTACAGTTGCCAGTCCAACCTCTTCCCTTCCTAGTGGGTGTGCTTCTAGGAAATGGTTGCATTCTTTTCAGACTAAAAGGATGTTGCAGTCAATGCACTTCTCTGCATGCTACAGAGCTCCAGGAAACAGTGTCAGCCTGAGGCAAAATGTCCCCTGAAAGTCCTGGGCTAGGGACAGACATTACACATAAACCAGGTTAAGTGATCAGAAACAGATTTAAACCTGTAACAGAACAGACATTCAGTGCACATAAACCAGTTTGAAATGGTCAAACCGGTTCGAGATAAACCTGGTTGAATGTAGTATCAGACTTAACTGTTTTGGCTCAAATTGGTTTATGCAATGTCTGTCCCAGATACCTTGCTGGTTTAAGTTAAATCAGACTCCCCCAGCATCCCGACATGCTCTCTGGCTGGGCAGAGCACTGCTCCAGTGAGCTGTACTGGCCCCTCCCCTCTGCTGTCTAGCTGGAGCAGGGGCAGGGTGTGGAATGATTCTGGCCTGCCATGGCACCTGAGGCAAATTCCTACCTCTGTCCCATCTCCACACCCTCTGCTGGCAAACCCTGGGGACCACAGCTGGGGTTTGCTAGTCCCAGCCCCACCTCCACAGCTTGCCTGTAGCCAGGAAAGGATGGAGTTAATTCCTCCCTCTGTCCCCTCTCTCCCCAGGAATCCCTGGGGGTTTGGCTGCAGTCTCTGTGGCTTGCCTGCAGCCAGGCTGGGACGAACCTGTGAGCCCAGAGCTAAGACCTGCAGGACCAGACTGAGAGGTGGGAAGTGTTGGCAAAGACCTGACAATCATCACACATATGTGCTGGAGATGGAGTTAAGGGAATTTGCAGAATTTCACCAAAGAATGCAGAGCTACATTTACATTAGAAAGCAGACCGTGCAAAAGCTAGGAATACCTAAACAAAGCCCTTCTGAATGCCTGGATGTAAGGAGACACTCTGCCCTCAGAATTAGTCAGACTAATTCTTGTCTTCCTGGTTCACGTTTTAAGTTAGACTAAGTTGTGTATGCTGTGTTTTACTGGGCCGTATCTTAACTTAGGTGAAGATTTTTGGTAGTTCCCTGTTGTATGCTTTGCAAATTGCTCTGTTCAATACATGCTTGCTTCAGAGAAAGGACTTTTCCCCCATCCCCACTCCTTAGTTTGGCAGCAGCTCCCCACTCCCCCCATTCCCCACCTGGTGGCTGGCATTGTGTGTGTTGTGCTAGCCCCGGCTGGTGCCTAGCCATGTCCCTTCTGCTCGGGGGTGGGGGGGGTGAAAGCCCTGGAGGGTGTCTCTCTTCCCTGCCTTTTGGCAGTGCTTTACAGGCATGCTCTAGTGCCCCCCAGCTTCTGACTTGAACCACTGCAGGCATGTGGCTGCATGTCCTGATTCAACAGAGAATGTCTGTCCAGTTATTTATCAGTTTAAACTGCGCAGCTCAGATTAACCTGCAAAGAGTAATCAATTCAGGCTCAAGCTTTTTGTGAATGTCTGTCCCTAGCCCTGATGTGCAGTGCAGCTCTGCATCCTCATGTAGTTCTGTGAATTATATACAAACCAGTCCCAGGAAGGAGGAAGAGGTTGGTTGACATACATTATTTTGCATCCTTCCCTCAAAACTCCAGGGGAGGCTGTATATTCAGTAGTAGTAGTCTTACTGGAAGAAAACTGCAAATATCTGTAAATGATTAAAATGGGAAGAGAGAAACAGCCTTGAATATTCATTGTATATCATTACTGATTTATTTTTCCAGTACTGCTCTTACTCATAGGACCAGATCTGACTCCCATGGACTTCAACAGCCAAGGTATTACATGCTGGGAGTTAGCAATAATTATATTTGCATAAAATTAAAACTCTACATAGTTAGATTAAAGGAAACACTAGGTGTGGTTAATCTGATCTTTTCTGGTATGCTGTCAAATTTTCAAAGCTTTCCTACATATTTAATGAACCAATTCACATGGTGTTTAAAATTATTTGCTTTTTTTAAAACAAACCTTTACAGGTATTACAAAATGGATACGATTCTTTAAGAATTATTGTAGTAATTTGACAGATTCCTGAAATTTTAAGAGAAGTCTAATTATTTTTTTAGATTTTAACACTATTTCAATCAGGCAGGTTTATACTTTTCTTTGCAAGTGTGAGAAGCAGCATTTATCACTCTCATGTATTCAGAGTGATTTAATCTTAAATAAATTATTTTATTGGGACACATTGCTCTGCTTAACAATAAGATAGATAGGGCCATATTTGATGTAGAAGAAATTAAGAGATATTGCCATATTATATGGCAATAAGTCTTGAAAAAAATCTATGGTTCACCTGTTACTATTGCTTACCTCAAAACCTCCTTTACTTTGCAATCACATTCTTATTTAAGACTTATTTTTAATGTAATATTTTAATGAAAAACTCTTCATCATACAATTTTTGTGGATAAAAGTAGAAAATTGCTGCAGTTTTTCATACAACAAAACTAAACACTATCCTTTTATTTACTAAGCTAGATGAGTTTTCTAAAACATAGGGATTTTTTAAATAGTTATATGGCTAGGATCCAGCAGGCAAACCTGTTTTACTGATGGGGTCTTTACTTATCCAGTGTTTCTGTCATCAGTCTGACCTTGCAGCTTTCTACAGTGCCATTATACCCTGGGTGCTGGCTTATTTTCATACAGCAGCCCCCAACTACTTGATCCCACTTCATCTACTTCACGGACACAGACATTTGTTGGGCTTATTAGCTCAGCAGGAGCCTTATCATATTTTGTATCTGAGGCTGTTGGAGATGTCAAGAGATGGAAATGCTGTGTAGCTTTTTATCCTCCCTTCTTGCACTTTCTCCGAGAGCCCAACAGTGCATTTGGATTCAATGCTCTCCTGCCACTAGCTGCTGAGATCTCTTTAAATATGTCTAGCTTTGCCATCTGTACCAATAACACTGCAAAGGCTTAGCCATGATTAGGCTGTCAAGATTTATTAAGTTAAAAAGTATCAAAGTTTCTTGCTGCAACCCCAGACCTTTTAAGAGTCCACCTTCTTTAGAATCCCTTCCCCCTCCCCACTAACACTATAGTCAATGTGTTTCGCTTGACCTTGACCAACATATGCACCCGGGGAACACTAATGAATTTGGGCCAATTCATCTTGGAACTCCAAATTTAATCATGCTGACATGCCAGGGAAAGCAGACTGTAATTAACTCCTAGCATTTTAGGTAATTTGTAAATTTCATAAACTTAGTCTGATCTGTTTTTGTATTATTAAGCATCTTTTGTTTGTTTTACAGACTACTGTGTTAAAATAATATAAGAACAGTAATTAGAAATAGCCATTTCAATGAAGGACTAAATCTTTTTTTTAAAGATTATTTCTCTAGGAAAATATGATGCAACCAAGCAACATGTATGGAGCAGTCCCATATTACAGAACAGCAAAGATGAACACATCCAACTTTATTATTTCTTTTTCAAAAATGACTCATAACTATTTGATGTAATGTGTCTCATGTAAATGTATAATGACCTGAATAAAAATAGTGATGTGCAATGTCCAGATTTCAGTGTGATTAAGTGTGATTTGTTTTGGATGAATAAGAGATAGGAGCTCTTAAGGGAGCCTATTTAATATGATGATTATGATGATGATGATGATGATGATGATCTGGAAACACTCAGAGGCCCCAGTCAGGATCAAGGTGCCATGGTGCAAGGTGCTATATGAACACAAGATCCCTTGCCCTGAGGAACAGTAAAGTTATTTATCCCTCCTCACTGTATGTGAATAGTACACAAATAGTTTTCTGTAAGCGGGTTCCAGAGTGAACCAACTGCCCTTTAGTTTTGCAAAACTACAACCTAATGCATAAAAATTTTCAAAGGCAAAATAGAAATATAGAACACTACAATGAACCCAATATTTGCCAATTTAATTATTCTGTCATTCTGGGATATGAAGAGAAAAATGAATAATGCTAATATCATATTGGCACCTAACTTAAATTCTTCTTGCAGATTTTTAAAATATAATTTTGTAATAAATGTTTAATTCAAATGGTCAGGCCAGATCCTGGGCCACCCCATCCCATCCAAATGTTTTGTTGCCACACTGATGATACAAACCACCCCAAAAGCTGGTATACATCACCTCCTAAAGTTTTCCCTCATATTCCTTGACATGGTAAAAGGCTTCCATAGAGGCTTCATACCTCCTTCATGTTTTTTCCCAAGGTATGGGATCTGACCAGCTTATCTGTAGCAATAACTACCTGTTGATTTCCCTAGACCCCAAATCAAGGAAGCATTGAAATGACTTTCTTTCTTTCAGTTAGTTTTAGCCCGAACAAAAGTCAACCAGACAAGAGGATTGGGGCTTATTTTTTTATTTGTAGGGTCTTCAGAGATGCTTGGAGCTCCATTACATAAAATAACCCTGTATTTATGCATTTTTTTAAGTTTCACTCCCAAAGCTGTGCAATGAATTCTGCATCAATTAACTTCATGTCAAAATGCTACATAGCCCTCTCCTTTTATATACAAGTGACTGCCTCCTAAATTTTGAATATGCACAAACACAATTGATGTAATCAATACATAAAGTAGATTCTACATAAATCTGTTCAGTGATATACTGTATATTTTAAGAGATGCAAAGAGGTCTTCAGAGTTGTTATTATTATTTATTAAGCAATTCCGGTCCCTAATAGTCAGTAAATGGTGGCAAAATGTAAGTGCAAAGTCCCTTAATGAGTGCAAACATAAATGCTGGTTCACAAACAGTAATCTCTTAACCACCATTAAATGAGTAACAGCACAGAAGACTCTCACCAACTGAGAATAATCTCACCAACCAGTTTTTATCGTCCTTTTTTTGGCCAAAGACACCAAGTAGGTGGTGGCAACAACAAATAACCTTTGACAACATCAGGACATCTTCACAATCGGGTTTCAGGCTACAATATAACATAGCGAGAGTTTGGTTGGCATTGATGAGTGACCTCCTGATGGTCCTAGGGAGAAGACAAACCTCAGTACCTATATATTTTGATCAATCATGAATCTTTCTTAGAGTTGATTATAACAGTGCTAATGGTCACATCTACAAAGCATAGTCATGGAAGTACACATCATGGTCCCAATGATGAGGGAGGTCTGAGATGACATAGATGGAAGGGCGGCACATTGTAGGGTCAGAAGACATCCTTGATACATTTTTTTGCCAAGGAGGTAAATTGTTTGGGGAGTTAAAAAATGGTCAGGGATAATGATTAGCATAGAGAGAGATTAGAATGAAGCCAGGTCCCTTTCTTAGAAGAAATACAGCAGAGGATCTAGGGAAGTGCTCAGCTTTTGTGGTTGGACAAGACCAGAAGAGGTGTAGATTGTCTGGAGGCTAATTATGTGCACCTATCCAAGAGAGGGGTGGATATACTCTGCTGTTATTGGGGAAAGAACTGTTAACATTCTGAGAATTTGGCAGGGATAAGAAAGAGACAATCAGGCAAACTGTGGGTGTCTCCTGGGGACAGTGCAGTTTCAATACAAGGTCTGGTTCCTCGATACATTGTAATTAGAAGTGGATTTTGAGAGGGCATCTCCTAAACATGATAAGGAATGGAGTTAGATCTCCTAATATCTAGTACAGTTAAAAGAAAATTCCATCTCCCCTGCTCCCTTAATTCTTTTACAAAGGAAGGGAATTCTTACCCCCAAAATAGTGGTGAGACCTAAGGAACAGAGTGGGGAAGCAATGGCAGCCCTCTGTAAGGAAGAATGGAGGTACCACACTAATGGTCCCTCGGTTATCTACCAGGTGAAACAAGAGGGTCGAAGGGGTGCTCTTATCAGGTGGAACAGATTTCAGTTGCAGATTACCTTCCTTGGACAAATTATTGAGAGAGAGTTCCCTGACACACAACTTCATAAATCTGTGGCCTGGTTATATCACATTTATAGTATCTTTTCACCTGCAGTGTGTGGAGCAATGGACCCTTGTATAAGATGTAGCAAAAGTGAGCAGTGCAGAGTTTTGCTGTCTAGATCTCAGCTATCTTTGAGAGGCAACTAACTCTTTTTTTGAGACAAGCTATATGTGGAGCCCTATGAGGATTGATCCCCTTTTCAGAACTGATGAGTTCTATGGGAGTGACTCCATAACCACTGGTGTGTGGACACCGCATACCTTTCTGTGGTTTTCTTTTCAGCTTCAGCAGTCAACATCATAACACAAATGACAGATTGTAAAGAAAATAAAGCATATAAGGTCTTGGCCATATTACACGGTCTCTGTTGTCAGAAGTTCTGCCAGCAGACAACCACGGCTAAAGTGAGCCATCAAAGTGCATCTGTATTTGCACAGCTCTTGCAGAATCTTGACCAACTCAATTTCTTTCTATGACAAGGTGACAGGCTCTGTAGATGGGGAAGAAGTAGGAGTGGATGCAACATACCTTGCCTTTAGCAAGACTTTTCACACTGTCTCCCATGACATTCTCATTAATAAACTAAGGAAATACAGGCTAGATCAAAGTACTGCAAGGTAGATATGGTTGGAGCATCACACTCAATGAGTAGTCATCAATGGGAGGAGGTATGAAATGGTATTTCTGAGGGGTCTGCCATTGTTTAATATTTTCATTAAAAATATGGACAATGGGATTAAGTGCATCTTTGCAAATTTGTGGATGACAACAAGTTGGGTGGAATTGCAGTCACTCAGGGGGATAAGGCTAGGAACCAGAATGACCTTGATAAGCTGAAGAAATGTTCTGAAATCACTCTGAGGAAAGTGTAAAGTTCAGCAGTTGGGATGGAATAATTACCTGCCCAACTTCAGACTGGGAAGTGATTAAGTAGGATGTAGTATTGCAGAAAAGAACCTGAGGGTTAAAATGGACCATAAGCTGAATATGAGCCAACAGTGTGCTCTTTTTGAGGAGAACTCCCCCCTCCCCCCAACAAACAAACAAAAAAAGGCCACCAGCATACTGGGCTGTATTAACAGGAGTGTCACATTTGCAAATCAAAGGAACAGATTCTTCCAGTCTATTCACCACTGGTGAGGTCTCATCTAGAATACTGTGTCCAGTTTTGGACCCCACACATCAAGAAAGATGTGGACAGATTGGAAAAGGGTCAACAGATAGCAACACAAATTATTAGATACCTGGGAAGCATGACTTATGAGGAAGGGATCGAAGACTTAGGACTGTTTAGTCCAGAGAAGAGAAGACTGAGTGGGGATTGGGTAATAGTCTGCAAATACCTAAAGGGTGATTTTGAAAAGGATGGAGATAAACTTTTATCTTTGACTGTAGGGAACAGGACTAAGTACAATGACTTCAAACTGCAGCAGAGGAAATTTAGTTTGGAGGCTAGGAAGAACTTTCTGACTACGGGGTGGTTACCGACTCTATCATGCTACCTAAAAAATGTAGAATCTCCATCCCTGGAAATTTTCAAGAGCAGATTAGACAGTCAACTTGACTGGTTTAATTAGGGATGATCTTGTCTTGAACAGGGGGATGGACTAGATGACCTCATAGGGCACATCTACATGAGTGCGCATGTGCATTTTATAGCATCTCAAGACACTCTGATATTGGGCCAGAGCATCTCTATAGCTCCCTCTTGTCCCGACAACTGAGCATGCCCCTTGAGCATACTCAAGAATAAAAGCAGGGCAAGGCTTGGAGATTGCTTGTAGGTAGTTAGTTGGAGGTAATAAGGACCGTATAGAGAAGTTCCAGATTCTGGAGGAGAGGAGGTTGAAGTCATGGGAGATCAAGGTAAAAAAGGGAAGGGTGGGAATGGGAACTTTCTCCCCACCAACACCCACCCAAGAACCCCACTCCCAACCCCTGTGTTCACCCTCACACAAAGCAGGTGAACACAGGGGGTGTCTGGAGCCACTGAGGGACTCTGGCAGCAGCAGGCAGCTAGTGCTGTGAGGGTCTTGGGGCTGCCTGATACCAGCAGTTGTGGGGGTTGGCAGGAAGGGGCAGGGCCATGTGTGTGGCTGTCTCTCCTCCCCTCCACCCCATAAAAATGTCCAGATGTCACTAAAGTACTGCCCAGCTTTTTTTGTCTCTTGCTCACTTTCCTTTATATACGTGTATGTGTATATAGTGGGGTTCCAGTTTACTTGTAGAAGTTCACGGGTATTTGGGGTTCACATTCTAATGTATGAAATTGGGATTTGTTAATCTGAGGTTTTGAAATTTGTAAACAGGGAACCTCAGGATCCCTGCCAGTGAGGCAACTGGTGGGACCTTGGCATAGGAGCCTGGCCAGGGCCAGCACCAGCGATCCACCTGGAGGACTAAGGAGGTGGCTGACCTCCTGGCCATTTAGGGCCAGGAGGACACACTTTGGCAATTTAGAGCAGGTCACTGTAATGAACCCATCTATCGGGCAATAGCTGCCCAGATAGCAGAACGGGGGCACTGAAAGACATGGCAGCAGTGCCACACAAAGGCCAAGGCATTGCAGTGGCAAATTACTGCTGCCTGTGATGCCAACTGGCAGTCAGGAGCAGGACACACCACCATGA